AGAGAGAGAGAGAGAGAGAGAGAGAGAGAGAGAGAGAGAGAGAGAGAGAGAAGGAAAACAATGGGGGCGAGTGTTGAGGAGATTGTCAAAATAAGAAAGGGAGAGACTCCGTTTACTGGCTTCTAATTTTTCTCTTTTATTTATTTATTTATTTATTTGTTTTGGAAATATAATTTTTTTTGGATAAAAAAAATTCTTTTCCATCCAATTTGTATGATATACTAACAAAAAAATAACATCCTTTCTATAGTTATTACGTATCCATATAATTTTTTTTACCAATTTTTAATGGCTATAAATAAATGAAGAATTGATCTACTGTTGATATTATATGATCAAAATCAGAAGAAAAAAAATGTTTCAAACCACTCAACTAACAAAAAAAAAAAATCTTAAAAACAACAGTTCATAGTTCTCTCTCTCATAAATCTATATAATTTTGTTCGTTAGTTTTCTCTCTCATAAATCTATATAATTGAACAATATATTTACAGAGTAGAGAAAAAAAATGTTTTATCTCATAATAAAGAGAGTCAAACAAGCAATAAATGATTCTAAGAAAATAACAATACCATCTTGTATTTTTTTTTAAAAACTAAATGATCAGAGTTTAACGCTAGTTGAATATTTGTTGTTAAAATATATTTTAAAAATTAAGAAAAAAATAGTTTTATTTATGAAATTAAAAGGATACTAGCAAATTTTTTATTTTATTTTAAATGGTTCGGCAAAATGTTAGTTTGTTTTATTAATTAAAAAAATCATAGAAATAGTTTATTTATATATATATATATATGCACGTGGGAATACAAATGGGCCGGAAAATATGGGCCGCTATCGAAATGGGCAGAAGCATAAGTCCAAGTTGATGACGCCACTACTGGAGGGAATAAAGAATAATGACGTCACCAAACGAGTGTGTGCACGTGAAGCGTAAATCCAACTACTTCGACAACTTGCCTCTGAATTAAACCCTAGAAATTTTCCTTCAACTAAAAAATAAAAAAGGATCCCTCCTCTCTCTCGAGCACGATTTCGCTCGTCTTCTCCGATTCGCTGTTCAATCGGTGTCTAGGGTCTTCCTTGGATCTCGAATCGGATCTGTACAAGGCATGGACGCTCGCAAGAGAGGACGGCCTGAAGCAGGCTCCTACAACTCCAATGGCGGATTCAAGAGGTCGAGGCAAGGTTAGCCCTTTCGCACTGTCCAGCTTGTTTTCCGTCCTTTGTTTGTTTCCCCGTTTATGAAAAACTCCATAGACCTAGTTCATTAGGTCTGATTTGGGATTTGGAGATTCTTGCCCCGTCCTTTTTGGTTCATTGGCTCTGGTTAGGGTTCGAATTCGAGATCTCCCCACTTCCGGGGACAACTTCGGTACCCACTTAGCTTGGGTTTGCGCCATGTAGTTTTCTGTATTGTTTGTGATCTTAGCCCTATCCTGAATTCGTGCCCATTTATACTGAGGTTACAGGGAAAAAGTTTGGATTTTAGGCGGTATTTGTCTGCTTGATGTGGGAGAGAATAATGGGTTTACTTGATTGAGTAAATCTTTTTATAAGTCAAGAGCATGTGTGCCCAAATTCACTTGCAAATGAATATGAAAGCTTCCCTAAGGTTTTGCAGCCTTGGGTTTTAGGTCCTGTCTGTCATATAGACAACTGTGTTAAATAAGATTGGTGCATTGGAAATCCTCACTAAGTGGTGTTATCAGACATCAGAAAAGTTTTAACTAAGAAAAAACACTTAATGTTTGCGACAGAGATGGAATCATATTCAACTGGTTTAGGAAGCAAATCGAAGCCATGCACAAAATTTTTCAGGTTATAATCCCTTCCTGATCGGATTAAATGTTCAAATTGTTGTTTATCTTCGGCTGAATCCATCCACAATTAACTACTAATGATATTGCGTAATTGTGCTGACGAAGTGGTTAGTTGTCGTACAGGTACGTAACCTCGTTCGTCCTAAACGAGTTTAAAAGATTCAATATGACAAATGTGGTTCCTACTGTGAAATTATGAATGTATAGAGAAACAATGAACTCAATTGGTGGTGTTATATGACTCACAAAATCCAAACTTTGAGGTGTGACAGCTGTTGAGAAAAGGTGTTGTATTCTTCTGTTTGATGGTAAGGTATATATGCATAATCTTCACATGTAACATGAGAAAGGATAGGCCTCATGCATTTCCCTCGTGCTATTCACAGGTTCATCATGACTAAGCCAAGAAAAAAATATGTATATTTGGCTATTAGATATTTTGATTCTGTTTTCACTTTTCACTGAAAGTTGTTGTGTCTGGATTCGAAAGTACAGTTTTTGTATTCTCTATAGATCCGCCATTTTGCCCCTTTTGTCTCATGTTTGATGTCATTGGTTTTCACTGCCTTATTGCAGCACTTCTGGATGCCCTTTTGGTGAGAACTGCCACTTCTTGCACTATGTGCCCGGTGGGTACAATGCCATAGCACATATGACAAATCTCGGTCCGCCACTTCCGCAAGCCTCTAGAAACATGCCGGGATCTGGTCCAGGCCGATATTCCGGGAGAACAGAGCATGCCCCACCAGGCCCAGTCTCAAGCTTTGGTGCCTCTGCCACCGCAAAAATCAGTGTGGATGCCTCATTAGCCGGTGCCATAATAGGGAAAGGCGGGATCAATTCCAAACAGATATGCCGCCAGACAGGGGCAAAGCTGTCGATTCAGGAACATGAGAGAGACCCGAACCTGAAGAACATAGAGCTGGAAGGGACATTCGAGCAGATAAAGGAAGCGAGTGCGATGGTGAGAGAGCTCATAGTGAGGCTGGGAGCGGCGGCAAGGAAACACATGGGTGGGAGTTCCGAAGGGAAACCGCATCCAGGAAGCAGCTACAAGACAAAGATGTGCGAGAGATTCGCCAAAGGGAACTGTACTTTTGGGGATAGATGTCACTTTGCTCACGGTGAAGCCGAGCTCCGGAAATCAGGAGTGGCTTAAGTAAGTTATGCCTCTGGGTTTGTACTGACCTGAAAGTGCCGGCAATACAAATCTAGACTCTGTTTTCAGGTGATGGATCATATGAGAAATTTGAGTTAAAGCACTACTGTCCTTTTGTAAGTTTTGATGGGTTTTTTTTTTTTGGCCAAATGCAAATTGATTTTGAACTTTGGCCGGACGAACTGTGGCAGTGTTCCAAAATCAAAGCTTTAGAATGTATTTTTCTGATAGGTTGGATGTGCCTAAGCTTGAGACTTTGATTCAATTTTTCTTCTCTGGTTTCGACTTTGAAGCCCTACACGCGTCCAACTAGGGTTGGACGTTTCGGTTCGGTTCTTCGGAACCGGACCGAACCGAACCGTTAAAACGGTATTTTTTCCGACCCGAAAGCGCTGTTATTTCCTAAACGGTACCATGTTATTTCCTAAACGGTACCATTTCTAGAGAATCGAATTTTTCCGGAACCGAACCGAATCGAACCGAACTTTAAAAATCCTAAAAAACTAAAGAAAATCTATCATTTTTTTAATAAAACCCGAAACTTAACCGATACCGAAACCGAATCGAACCGAATACAATAAAAAAATCTGATTGGTACCTATTTTTGTAAAACCGAAAGAACCGAATCGATCTATTCCGTCCCGAATCCGAACCGTTTCCCGAAACGTCCACCCTAGCAACTTTTCTGGCTTCGTGCAGCAGCGCGTAAGCCACGTGTCATTCAAAGAGCTTTTAAATCCGATCACTATTCTTTGCTTGACACGTGTAGCCACGTGTCGTCTCTGGAAGACACGATCCTACGTGTTCACTACTAGGCTATGCAATCTACGTGGCGCGATCCCAGAGCCCTATGCGATGACTATTTATTGAACAGTTGCACCGATAGAACATGAATAAGCAGAAAAGAAGACGCGAGATTTTTGGATCAAATCGTTTAAATTTCAACAATAATCGAAAGGGTTGACAAGAAACAGTGTGTGCAACGATGCAGTCGATGAAGGAGACAGCTTCAAACATCGCAGCTTCTGCAAGAGCTGGCATGGAGAAGACCAAAGCCACTGTGGAAGAGAAGGTGTATATATAGACACTCTGAATTTCTCGAAAATATTTCAGATTTTTGTTCTATTTTTTCGTTTTCCGTCAAAAATGATTCCTCTTTTTTTTTTTTTGGCTCGTCAGGCGGAGAAGATGAAGACGAGAGACCCAGTTCAGAAAGAGATGGCGACGCAGAAGAAAGAAGACAGAATCAACCAAGCAGAGCTCGAGAAGCGGGAGGCGCGTGAGCACAACGCGGCGGCCAAGGAAGCCGCCGGCGCCGGACTTGGGACCCCGGGCTACACCGCCAAGGGATCCGGCGGCCTGGGCTCGGCCACTCACTCCACCACTGGCCGAATCGGGCACGGGACCGGGGCTCACCAGATGTCTGCCCTGCCGGGACACGGCGCTGGCCAACCCACCGGGGACGTGGTCGAGGGCACGGAGACTGCTGCCCCGATCGGCACCAACACCGGGACCGGTCGGACCACAGCTCACAACACTCGAGCCGGCGGTGGCACCACCGGGTTTACAACCGGGGGCGGTTACAGTGGATAGGTTTTGTTTCGATGAAGCAGAAGGACCAAACGTCGAACTTTGGTGCGTGTGTTTTTTCTATGTTATGTTTGGTTCGCCGCCGTCGTCTTGTTGTTTTTTTAAAATATAGTATGTATTGAATAATTCATGTATCTTATGTTACGTTTCGCGTGTGAATTATACGGTCCATATAACCAGAAGAATTGCAATTGAATTTTGGATGTGTCGCGTCAATTGTTAGTGATGGGCTTCGAAATATTGGAAAATTTCGAAATCTTAATTGTTACATATTTATATGGAAAATGAAAGGATTTTAGATTTTTTTTTTTGTTAATATTGGACGTTAGATATTTTATGTCAATTTTGTGTTCTGAAAATTTCTATATAATTAATTTTCCCGAAACGTTATGCGTTCTTAATGAATCGTGTCAAAGATTCATTAAAGCAATTGACCTCGTAGTCAAAATGGCATTAATTACGTAACAAAACTTTGCAGGTACATATTATATATATATATAATATATGTAAGAGATTAAATTAATTTCTTAAATTGATAAACAAAATATTTGTATATAGAGATTCAGAAATCTATGTTTTTTTAATAGAAAGATCCAAAGTGGTCTAAAATTATGAAGGATCCCAGAAACATGGGTTGAATATCGCCTGGTAATCACATGAGATTTTAGATTTTTTTTTAAATATATACCATTTTCTTATTATATATATATATATATTCATTTATTTATTGATATGTGAAATACAAAAGGAAGAAGAAACACAGTGAAATTTGCTTGCACATTGGTTGAGAGTGTAAACTAAGAGAAATCGGCTGTGTACAAAAATGGAGAAATTTAATGACAAAAGTTTAGTTTGATTGAATAAAAATATTACCATAACAATTAATTATTTTCAACTCAATTAATTTTATAATTTCAAAAAAGATTGACTCAATGAATTCAAATTTCAAATCTCTTGAACTTACCATAATCATTAATTCTCCATTTGTTAACTCAATAAACTAAATTCTCTAAATTATCCAAACTCATTGGCACAGACCTCATAAATACTAGGGGTGAGCGTTTCGGGTTTCGGTTCGGTATTCAAGCGGTTCGGTTCGGGAACGATATTTTCGGTTTTATAAAAAGTGTACCAAACTAAAACCGAATATTAAACGGTTCGGTTCGGTTCGGTTTTAGTATCGGTTCGGTTCGGAACGGTACCATTATATGAATACCAAATAAGTACCGAACTATAATATTTACACATATATTAGTGGAATATTCGAATTTTGGTTCGGTATTCATACGGTTCGGTTCGGGAACGGTTCATTCGGTTCCATAAAAAGTGTACCAAATTAGAACCAAACGTTATTCGGTTCGGTTCGTTATGGTTCGGTTTCGGGACGGATCGGGTCGGTACTAAATTCTCGAACCGTGCCCACCCCTAATAAATACTTGAAAAAAAAGGGAGATTTTTTATGGCCGGAAAAAGATTTAAAGAAAAAAAAGAAGGGGTGGAAAACGAAAAGAAACAAAAATTGTGGGGCCACATTAGAAGAGAGAGAAACACATGCGCCATTAAATACCCGCTCTTGCTTTCACCTCTCGAATGACTGGTCGGCATCGATCGATCGAGATCGAGAGAGAGAGAGAGAGAGGAGAGGGAGGGAGGGGGAGAGGGAGAGGATTTTTCGGTGGAGCTGTAGAAGGGCTTGTCGTCTTCTTCCCGTGCTCATCCCATTTCTCTCGTCCATTCTCAAGCTCAAGGTCCGTATCGATACTCTTCCATTTCGCTGTTTCGATCTCCGTTCTAATGCTATCTGTTTGGAATTTTGGGGGTGCTTAGTGTGTTCGTTTATTTCCCATTTCGTGCTTCGATTTCTCTCTTCTTTGGATGTCGCATTTCGATGTACAATCGATTCCTTTATCAGGCATTTATGGATCCGCCCATATTTCTGCATTCTGTCTCGATCTGGGGTTTTCTGGTATGTCTTCTGATGACGATCTTTGTGATGCCGATGGTGCCCTTTCGATCTCGTTTCGTAACACTAGAGATTTGTTCCCCAATTTTTTTTGTGGAGATTTCATTTAACAAAGAGTAAACACTGGAGATTTTCAATCAAACAAATTTGTTTTTGCAGCCATATTCGTTTGCGGTTCCCTGAAACTTGGGTTGAATACTGACTGGTAATGACATGCGATTAGCATCCCCCTGTAATTAATGGAAATATTTTCCAGATTTGGCGTATTTTTGGGTAATTTTCTTTTAGTTTTTTGTTGGGTTATGTATGTCTGAATTGGAACTCACTAGGACCCATTAATATCGTTTAATCATTATAGATCTGAACTTGGGATTTTAGGGTTATTAAATTTTTACGTCTTTAATGGAAAAAAAATCCCCTTATCGTTTGAATTTTAGGTATGGTGGCCCTGAATTTGCCTTGGATTTGACTGGTTCCAAATTGAAATCAGCAATTCCCTTTCAATTTCGTTCACTCAAATCAAATCAGATTTCGTTTTTTTTTTGTATATTTTAAGATTTTTAATTTGTTTTTTAAACTGATATTCCATAGATATGCAATTTTCGTTTTGAGAGTTTTAATATTCTTTTTGTAATAACCAGAATCAAATACTTGCCGAAAGGGTTCATGAAAACAAAAGAAGGGAAAAGAAAGAAGTGATATTATATTAATTCATGAAAAAGGGGAAAAAATAGTTTTTTTTTTTTGCCAATTTAATACTTGGGATTCTGTTTGTAATGGCGACGAGACTGGCGGCACACTTGCTTTCCAAAGTGGTTAATATTGTCGTCCACTTCCTGTTGAAAAATGTTATGGATTCGTGATTGCGTTGGACCCCTTTGGATCTTTAGAATTAAAGTTGCCAAAATTGACAACCACAGGAAGCAGATGTGGTCTTGAGTGATCATCATTTTGGCCCATTTTCATCCAATGGGGATTCTTGTTTTCATGGGTTCGCATGTGATGCTCCTTGTTGGCCACTTAGTTATTGATTTCAGGGACCACCATTTAAGTGAACTGGTGCCACTCATTCATCCATCCTCCTGATTTTTTGAAACCCACTTTGGGTACTCGGATTTTTGGTTGGTTTTTTTTTTTTTGGTTAACCTTTTGGTTGGTTTTCATTATAAAGGTTTCTACTTTGATCGCTCTCTTTGCTGTTTCTGAGTGAGAAGTTGAGCCATTGTCGGCTTTTTTCGCATGCATTCTTGTTTCTGAAGTAGTTGTCTTGTTCATTTCTTGTTTGCAGAAACATGGGTGCAGGTGGTAGAATGCAGGTTCCTTCCTCCTCCAAGAAATCGGAATCCGATGCTCTGAAACGTGTTCCATGTGCAAAGCCGCCGTTCGCGCTCGGAGATCTCAAGAAAGCCATCCCTCCGCATTGTTTCAAGCGTTCTATACCTCGCTCTTTCTCGTACCTTATCTGTGACCTCGTCATAGCCTCTTGCTTCTATTACGTGGCCACAGCCTACTTCTCTCTCCTTCCTCAGCCTCTCTCCTATTTGGCCTGGCCGCTCTACTGGGCCTGTCAAGGCTGTGTCCTGACCGGAGTCTGGGTCATAGCTCATGAGTGTGGCCACCATGCATTTAGCGACTACCAGTGGCTCGATGACACAGTTGGCCTCATATTCCATTCACTTCTCCTGGTCCCGTATTTCTCCTGGAAATACAGTCACCGACGTCACCATTCCAACACGGGTTCCCTTGAAAAGGACGAAGTGTTTGTTCCCAAGCAGAAATCCGACATCGGATGGTATTCCAAGTACCTAAACAACCCTCTTGGCAGAGTCATGACTCTAACCGTCCAGCTCGTCCTTGGATGGCCGCTCTACCTGATGTTCAACGTGTCGGGCAGACCATATGACAGGTTCGCTTGCCACTTCGACCCGTATGGCCCGATCTACAATGACCGAGAACGTCTCCAGATATACGTCTCGGACGCTGGGATCCTGGCCGTCTGCTATGGGCTATACCGGCTCGCGGCTGCAAAGGGAATGGCCTGGTTGATGTGCGTATACGGAGTTCCGCTCCTCGTGGTTAACGGGTTTCTCGTCCTGATAACGTTCCTTCAGCACACTCACCCGGCACTGCCTCACTATGACTCGTCCGAGTGGGACTGGTTCAGGGGAGCTCTGGCTACCATCGACAGGGACTACGGGCTCCTGAACAAGGTCTTCCATAACATCACGGACACGCACGTGGCTCACCATCTGTTCTCGACCATGCCTCACTATCACGCCATGGAGGCGACAAGAGCGATCAAGCCGATACTTGGAGACTATTACCAGTTTGATGGGACACCCATCTACAGGGCCATGTGGAGGGAAGTGAAGGAGTGTATCTATGTGGAGCCCGATGAGCATGGTGAGAAGAAAGGTGTTTTCTGGTACAACAATAAGCTGTGATGATGATGGCGATCATCATCATCATCATCATCATCATCATGACGAACAGAGCATGAAGATGAAGAATATAAAGGACCGGATGATCTTTGGGGTCTCTTTTTGATGTCTCATGTTTATGTCTGAAATCCTTCTTCTCGCCATTAGTGTTCGCTTGAATTTTGTTGTTTGTTGTCGTCGGAATTTTGAAGATATTCCAATTGCAATCCAGATATTTTGTTAAATATAAATTTATATTCGATATATCGAAAGTATATTTTCGGTATTTATTTTTATTGTGTGTATATACACACACACACATTCATGTTCAACGTGTCAATCGCTTTAAACTAACATATGGATCGTCCAATATTCTCCTCGCATATTTCTGAAATCTCGCGTGTATATATATACACACATATACATTGTTCATGTTCATGCACTCTCATCTTATTATATTAAGATGTATCCTTGCCTTCTGCATCAATGCAAGCTCTGCCCTTCACCTGTCAGATTCACCGCGTTTGAAGACATGCGGTTTTCACAAAAAAACATCAGAATTATTTTATATATATTATATTATATTTTTTTGGTAGATTTATCGTATTTAAAAGATTTACCATTCTCAAATCTGAGTCCATAAAACGTCATCATTCATTATTTATATATATATATAGAGAGATTTATTTAAGTGGGGCGGTATATTCCGTATGGATGGTTAAAGCTTTTGGAGTTTTTATACTTCAAAAACCAAAAAAAAAAAAAACAATCATTTAAGTTTTTATAAAAATAATTATTTTAAAAACTTAACAAACCATTTTGGTAAAAAAAAAAATCAATAAAAAACGATGATTTATAAATATTATAGAAAACCAAAAACCAAAAACTAAAAACTAAAATCTAAAAATTAAAATAAAAAACTTAAAATAAAAACCATCTCATTCAACCATATATTTCAAAATCTATATTGTTCCCAAATTTGAGTTCATAATATCTGTATTTTTTTTAAACATTAGCTGATCTCATGTTATTATAACCAATATTTCATTTTTGACTTTTCATTTGTACTCTTGAACTCTACTCTTATATTTTTTTTTTCAATCTTTTTTTGATCACTCCCTCAATATCACCTTGTTATATATGTTTTATATTAGTGACAAATAATTATTTACATTTGTATGTAAAATATTTATAACGATCAAAACGGTGAACGGTGAACAAAGTTTGGTTGAAGAGACCGAGTCAAACACCGAGTCCACTCGTAGTCTTTAGCGGGAAAACTCCATTTTCATAAATTAATTTTATCAACAGTTTTTCAAATTTAGTCAATGAAAAGATTAGAAAAAAAAATTAAATCAATGAAATAATATGGACGGCGAGATCCTCGGGTGCACCTGTTTAATTTTAAATAATATAATGTAATATATATTTTCATTTATACTCTTCAACTCTATATCTTTCGTAAAATCGGAAAAAAATACACCATTTCAAAATTTTATTAAAAAAGTATTTTAAAAATTGAGAGTTTTATTATAAAAATAATCATATATTAATTTTCTCTAACTTTTTGAAAGTTTATATTTTATATATGTCAACTCGCCCGCTCAACAGAAAATAAAGTCCGGTTTTTTTCTTCAAATTAATAATATTTATTATTTTTATTTTCCAATATTCAATTCAAGAAACTCAGAAACTTATATAAATTCATGGCATCACCATCTTGCTTCCGCAATCTTCATTTCGCCTTTTTCGTCCCTCTCCTTCACATTAATTCCCTGATTTTCTCGAGCTCCCATCATATTTTCTCTGCTTCCCTCTCTCTGTTTTCTCTTCGCTTCTTGGCTTCGATTCCGTTACACGCGATTCGAACCCGTCGATTTTCTCGGCGAGTTTTCCCGGAATCCAAACAGGGGGTTTTCGCCGGGTAATATGTTTTCGTGGCTGAAGAAGCGCGCGGATTCTTTAGTGAAACCCCTGCGGATATACATCCGTACGAAGAGGGGCGATCTCGGAGATGACGTCATCGCCGGCGACAACTCCGGCACCGGAGAGTCGTTCATCTGGTACAAGGACCTCGAGAGGCATTGCTTCGGCGACCTCTCCTTCGCCGTTGTTCGGGGCAACGAGGTTATAGAAGATAACAGCCAAGTCGAGGTCGGAGAGGACGCCGTTTTCGTCGGTGTCTACGACGGCCATGGCGGAACTCAAGCTTCTCGGTTCGTAGCTGATCATCTCTTTAATCATTTCATCAGTAAGTACCATCTTCTCCTGGGGATTTTCAATTGGTTTTTTTTACTCGGTTCGCATTTTTTGTGCTTGGAGTCGATCTTGATCCTATCTTGCTTTCATCCAGTTTCGATGAGTCGTAAATCATAATGTTCGGATGCAATTTCGTCTCTGTGAGTAAGATTGATCAAGAAAACGATATTTCGATGATTCGATGCCTAAATCGATTATCGTCGATAACACATCTTCTGAATTGTGATTAAATCTCGGGCTTTATCCATTTCGCGTGGAATTCCCAAGTATGCAGCAAAGATACAAAACCCTGTTTTGGCAGATTCTCCTAAGCAAAACGCTGTTCATTTGTTCGTTTCTTGAATATGGATCTGGTCTCATTTATGGTACATTCCTGCAAGATTGTCCCTTCTTTTTCGCGACGTCAGTAAACCTTGTGCATGACGTAACCCAACCGGAGCAAGATTTTCTTCTTGTTCATGTTGCTTCTTTGGGTAACTCCTCTTCAGGAATTTCGGGTGGAAACAGTGGGGCCTCAGAGGATATCCTGAGGAGTGCATTTGCTGCAACTGAGGAAGCGTTTCTCACAAGAGTGGGAATAGGGAAGCAGGTAGACCCGTTGATCGCAGCCGCTGGATCTTGCTGTCTTGTCGGACTTATCTCCGGAGGGATGTTGTATATCGCCAATCTGGGCGATTCCCGCGCTGTGATTGGTTCCCAGGTCAGGTTTAACAAGATTGTAGCCGAGCAACTGAACGAAGAACACAATGCAAGATTCGAAAAGGTTAGGCAGGAGCTAAGGGCGCAAAACCCTGACGACTCTCAGATTGTTGTTCTCAGCAATGGAGTGTGGCGTGTCAAAGGCATCTGTCAGGTTCGTGGGATAAGTTTCGTCCTTTGATCACATGATGATGATGGCAATGATGATGATGATGATGATGCAGGTGAGTAGAGCGATCGGCGATGCATTCTTGAAGCATGAAGAGTTCTCGTTGAATGGCTATTCGAATCCCAAGTACTATATCCCTGAGAGGCTCCGACGGCCTGCACTATCAGCCGAGCCGTCTATCACCACAAGAGTCCTCCGACCGAACGATAAGTTTGTCATCTTCGCATCCGACGGTCTGTGGGAATACTTGACGAACAAGCAAGCTGTTAAGATCGTGCACAAATACCCCCGGGATGTACGTATTCATACAATCCATTATCTCGGTGAAATTTCTTACCCTTTTTTCTCCGCATGCTCGGGCTTATTCTGATGCGAAAAACGAAATCAGGGTATCGCGAGAAGGCTGGCGAAAACAGCGTTGAACTTAGCGGCTAAGAGGAACGAGATGACATACGAGCGTCTGAGGAGGGTAGAGGGGCAATACAAGAGAGCCTTGCACGATGATATCAGCGTGGTCGTCCTGTTCATAGACCACGATCTTCTGCAGCGACCTGACCCGGCCTCACAAGTTTCGATGAAAAGCTTCGACAACTTTATTGTACCTTCCGGGTTCTGCAACCTCCGTTAACTCCATTCTCCATTTTTGTTTCTGGACATTACCCATTTTTTAGATTCATTTCACTCACCAGACTTTTTTTTTTTTGGAGGGTTTTGCACATATAGATTGGGAGATTTGAAGATTAGGGTTTTTTGATTTCACTCACCCATTTACACATTCTTTTTTAGGGGTTTTGCACATTTGGGATTAGGGGATTTAGGGTTTACTGCACGCCAAAAACTTTCGAGTTTGAGAGGTTAGTGGTTGACTCACCAAAGTCTCTGTGGTTGTAACGTTCCGAGGTTTAATGAAATTGAAGATTTTTGGTATTGGGCTGATCATACATTCTGTCACGTGAAACAAAAATGGCCATTGAGATCGGAGGGATGTCTGAGAATATACAAAGACGTCACCTTTGGCATTGGTACTTGGTGGATGACAGAGCAAATGATAATCATATTTGATATAAAAATAAAAAAAAGGGCCAAATCCATTTTTCCAAAATGAAACAACAACACGGAATGAAACCAAAGAAATAGAAGAACATTGAAGGAAAAAATGTTGTAATGTAAATCCACTTTGGCACAAAATGCAATTTTCTTTTTTGGTTCTCTTCGATTTCAGTACCTTCTGCGAATGTCTAGAAGCATTTCCTGTGGACAATGGACGGTCCTGATTCATCGTACTCGGCCTTCGCTATCCACATCTGCATTTCACAAACACCGTATGTATATATACAGTAAGCCCCCAGAAACCGAAAGAGTGGAGAGGGCAACAGATTCAATTCAAAGTGAAGAATGGGTGCGTACCTGTTGGAATGTGCTGAGGGAAGCGAGGATGGACCCTCCAATCCAGACAGAGTATTTCCTCTCTGGCGGAGCAACGACCTTTATCTTCATGCTGCTGGGAGCGAGAGCAGTGATTTCCTTGCTCATCCTGTCAGCTATGCCTGGGAACATGGTGGTTCCACCACTTAGGACGATGTTTCCGTACAGATCCTTCCTGATATCGACGTCACACTTCATGATGGAGTTGTATGTCGTCTCGTGAATACCCGCTGCTTCCATCCCGATGAATGACGGTTGGAAGAGGACCTCTGGGCAGCGGAATCTCTCGGCACCGATCGTGATGACCTGCCCGTCGGGCAGCTCGTAGGTCTTCTCGACCGCTGAGCTCGTCTTCGATGTCTCCATCTCTTGCTCATAGTCGAGAGCGATGTAGGCGAGTTTCTCTTTCATGTCCCTGACGATTTCACGCTCGGCCGTGGTGGTGAAAGAGTAACCACGCTCGGTCAAGATCTTCATTAGGTGGTCGGTGAGGTCACGACCCGCCAAGTCTAGACGGAGAATGGCATGTGGAAGGGCATATCCTTCGTAGATCGGGACAGTGTGACTCACACCATCTCCCGAGTCCAAGACAATACCTGAAAAAACCACGATAATTTACTTCATTCACGGCTCATGGATTTACATAACACCCGAAAGGTCAAAAGTTCGACATGAAAAACAGTAATCGTATGCTTCTCTTTCAAAAGGTTGCCACGAAAAAGGTTAGACAGAGATAGGTAATTTTGTTAAATGCTCAGCTAGGGCTTCTCCATAGGTTAAAACCTATATAAATATGTAAGATCCTAGTTCGGGCTAGCTATACAGAGCTAAGGCATAGTTTGTAAACTAGTACTAGGAAGTAACAGTTGTTTACCAGTTGTACGGCCACTGGCATAGAGGGAAAGGACGGCCTGGATAGCGACATACATAGCCGGAGTGTTGAAGGTCTCAAACATAATTTGGGTCATTTTCTCACGGTTAGCCTTCGGGTTGAGAGGAGCCTCTGTGAGGAGAACCGGGTGCTCTTCGGGGGCCACTCGGAGCTCGTTGTAGAAAGTGTGATGCCAAATCTTCTCCATATCATCCCAATTGCTAACAATACCGTGCTCAATCGGGTATTTCAAGGTCAGAATACCTCTCTTGGATTGAGCCTCGTCGCCGACATAGGCATCCTTTTGGCCCATCCCAACCATCACACCCGTGTGGCGAGGGCGTCCGACGATACTGGGGAAAACAGCTCTAGGGGCATCATCTCCAGCAAATCCAGCCTAACGTTCGGGACACAATTCAACCAGGACTCTTATGTAATGTTCCAATAAAACCTAGTACCATCATATAAACAAAATCGAACTGATCAAGATCTTGATACATTACCTTGACCATTCCGGTTCCATTGTCACAGACAAGGGGCTGGATGTCCTCGGCGTCGGCCATTTCCTATTCCTGCAATACGTTCCTCATATATCTTAGCAAATTTTTGTCGAAACCAAGTCGCAGAAATGGGAATATTCAGTACCAAAATAACAACTTAACGACAACCCTTTGGAGCTAAATCAATCGTTCCATCAATAACGAATCAAATTGACGATAATTTTTCTTGCATTGGCTAAAGATCATTCACCTAAAACAGGATTTTACAGACAAAGCAACAGGAACACGAACAGTTAAATTCTCCCCGTAAAATTAATCAACCAACAGATGAATCAATCCCCAGATAATAACATACTACGACATTTATATCTAAGGCTTCGACTTTTGGATCCGAAAACTATCAGAAAAAGTTTGGGGAGTGGGATTATCAGGAGAGGGGAAAAGGCCTGAACCATAAACGCAGGAGATCGAATGGCAAAAGAAATTCGAGCTTCACAAAAGATCTAACAATGAAAGGCAAACATCAACAGCATTCTCGAACAACAACAACTAGAAGATACAAATCTCAAACCATGGAATCTAAAGATCTAAGAAATGCTCCCAAAACATCCAGACGAGATCCAGATCGAAACAGATCGACAAAACCCGCAGAACACAATCAATCTAAAAACCAATCAGACGAACAAATTCTTCGAAACTACGAGATTGAGATAACGAATTCAATCCAGAGTTAAAACATTCAATCTCAGGGAATGCACACAAAAACTGGAGAAGAAATGGCGATAGATTGGGAGAGAGAGAAATTACCTCTTTTTTCCTGGGATTTGCGGGAAATCTCCGAGACCTCGCCGAGGAGTGAATTTGAGAAACAAAAATTGGGAAGAAAATTAATGTTGAAGAGCAGATGAACAATCTCAGCCTCAGAAATGGTGGAACTTAAAAAGAACGAAGGCGTCGTCGCTATCAGAAGATCTCAGCCGTCCGTTCTGAATCTCTGATCGGAGGAGGACCCCACGACGAGTCACGTTGATGGTGGAAACAGCTGGCTTGGCTTTCAAACGGATGTCAAATGACGAAACTACCTCTCTTTGATTGGAAAGGTCCAAATTGCCCTTAGGGGTTCGGGGATTTGGTATGGGCTTATAAAGGCCTTAAAGCATGGGCCCAAAAATGTTGGTGGGAAAGGTAAAATCTTCTCTCTCTCCTATCTGTTCTGTTTCTTTGTTGTTTTAAAACAAATATATATTTATGAACTACAAATATCTATTTGTTTGTCATCTATGTTATAATAATACCCATTTTTGGAAATATATATACACCTATAGAAAATGATATAAAAAAATACCAATTCCAAGGCAAGATCATATTTAGTTTTTATTGAATTATAAAAATTAATCTATTCTTGGAAAAAAAAATCATGAATTAGTTTGTAAAAAATTATATAGTAATTGGAATTTTTTTTTATGAAATATTCCGATTTAAATATGAATAAAATTTGAATTAAATTTAATATAATGTTATAATGTGTTAGGGACCTAATAATCTTGATTCTTGAATTACAACCTAATATGATATTTTATCATAACATAATCTATATCTCAATGAAGAACAACCTCAGATCATCTATAAATGTCAATTTGATTTCTTTTACTCCATTTTAAAATTTAAAAATTTTAATATGCATTTTCCATATGTTTTCAATAACGGTCTTCTATTCATACAAATTGCAAACAGACACCATCATCTACAAAAAAATAATTATTTTGATGCCAAAATAATTATATCCGTTATATGTCACAAACGCTAATCGCTAAAACGCAAATCAGCGTTGGCGGCCGGCGGTTGTGGTGCTCTTTGATCTGAGTCAAAGCGTATTTCGTTGACTCCGCGACTCGAGTCACAGTCGCAAACGCGCAAGACTTCAGAGCCAACACGAGAACAAGGGTTTAGCGATTTCTCCTCCTCCGTTCTTCCTCACTGTTCTTTCTTCGATCCCATGAACTCGTAACCTCGTTTCGCTATTTGGTGATTCCGGTTTCAATTCCGAAATATTACGGTTTTGGGTCGATTCGTTTCCTATAAAGCTTCGGTTTTTCCATTCGATTCGATTACGGGTTTGTTGAATCGAGATGGACAGATCTAATTCCTTCAATCACTCCAGCGAAAACCCGTCGTTGAATCAAAGGAACTCCGATGTGGGATACAGCACCAACGACAGGAGGCTCGCTTACTCGCGCTCGTTTCAGCAGTCGCACGGCCCACGCACGCCGGCGGCGGCGGCGGCGATGGTGTTTTCTTCCGGCGAGGCGGCGAAGCCTTTTCTCGACCGCACAGTGTCGAGCATCGATATGCCGCCGGAGATTTACTTCGGCGATGGAAATGAAGAGCTTTTCGGGGAAGGGAAAGAGAAG